TAATTTTATAAAACGTTTAAATATTTAAATTTTAATAACAAATATTTAAATTTTTAATTAACTAATTTTTATTTTAAATAAATAATATTAATAAAAAAAAGATATATTATTCGACGTTAGATGTCGCTTATGTTAAAATAAGGTTGAATAATGTTGGGTCGTCTCGTGCTGTCTGACGAGGATGAGGAGGAAGAAAAAGAAAGATCTAATTTAGTGGAAGATGATTCTGCTCTTTCTTCGAGGGTTGGAGGGACGCTAAGGTTCAACGAACCTCAAAAAGATACGTCAGAAATCGAGACTATTCGTAAGTTTACCTGTATATGCGTTCTCCTTACCTCCATATTAAGATCTAAGATCTATGCATTGAAAATTATGAAGACGATTATATCCATTATTCTTAATAGATAATTGTATACGAGTAAATGAGTAAAATTTGAATTAAATTCAAAAACATACAGCTTTCATTTTAGTTTAAATGCACATAAATTGGTTAAATTACATTTAAAAGGTAATAAATAATCAATTTCATCAACATGTGATAATTATTGAAACAAAGTATTTTCTGATGTGTAATAACTAATTTGACATGGTTTTTATGAGCCATAATAATCTTGCTACTTCCTTTTATTATAATGATTCATACTCTACTTAAAAGCTATAAAGTTTATTGACAAGGTATTTGATTGAGTTGTATATATTATGATTTAATTTGACTTAAAATGATTAGTAGAGCTTAATAAGATGTTGAGTATGTTAATATGTGAAACGGTATGCTGTCTGGACCATTTAAGCACTTTTCAGGCCCTGGCCCAATTTATTTATGAGTGTTACAAGCAGGGCTGAGTAGTAGGTAAAAAACACTCGACTCCAACTCCTGATAATGTTAGTAGGCCGACTCCGGCAAAATTAAATACCAAGTCACTTGATGGGGGGGCAAAGGTGTTGATAGGGGACCTACTCTGAACTCTGAAAGGAGCCTGGAGAGTTTACCAAAATATTTTATAGTTAGTATTTTTAATATTTAACTTACATTAATATTTGTGTAAAAAAATTAATTTTTAACAAATATTTAATAAGGGAGAAAGGAGCGATAAAATTATACATCTACATATATTCAACAGTATTTGCACTTCAATTTCACCCTTCCAGAAGAGTTAGTCCAACGAAAAAGTGTGTGATCTAGCTAGCTACTTCAGCCCCACGTTCAGAAAAAAAAAATATCTGCTGTACTCTGATCAATTAGTCTGGCTCATTCAGAAAAACAGAGTACTTATTTAGAGCAGGTATAATAAAGGAATGATTCAAAAATATTCAAATTCAATTGGATCAAAATAATTTAACTACTAAATGCAAATAGTACAAACAATACTACATATTTAATAAATTAAATTGATGCATTTTGTATTTAAAATAAATGAATTATAACAAAATACAAAAAGATTTTAAAATATTAATAAATATATAATAAATTTTCTTTCATTTAAATTAAAAAAAACTAAAGTAAATTTAAAATGTTGGGAGTTGGAGTTGACACATTTTTTCTGATTCCAACTCTGACTCCTCTGGCCAGAAATTCTTCCCAACTGCGACTCCGACTCCACAGCCCTGGTTACAAGTATAGATATGGGAAAAATATTAAGAATGAGCAATGAGATGAGGCCTCTGCCGTGGCTGGACTTCATCTCGTTGGTCAGTTATGTCTTTGTTATGTTACCCTGTGTTACTTGCTCTACTTTTATGTTATTTTGTTAAATGGGAATTACTCAAATTTTACAGTGGTTTTTCTTTAAAGAAATTACTTTCTTAAAGAATTCTGATTTTAAATATTTTATTTAAATAGTAAATAAATGTATGCCATAATGATTTTTCATTATTATAAACGATGAATGAAAAAATAATTATGAAAATAACTTTTAATATTTTGGAAAATATAGATGAAAAATGAACCATTACAGAATTATATAATTTTTAAAATAATGTAAAATTAAGTAATGTTATAGAATATTATGATTCTAAGAATCATATCTTAACCTCATTGCTTACTGTAAATTATTGTTTTATGGAAGAAATTTAATGTATTTTTTTAAATTAATAACAGTAATACAGTACTATAATGTGCATAAAAATTATTAAATGTCAAACAATTTAAAACAAATTTTAAATGGCAAAGATTTTTTAAAAAAAGATCAAATGATATATTGAAATATTATCAAATAAAGTCTTGTTTAATGTTGATTAGTCAAGTTTGAGTGCAGTAATTGATTGTAATAAAAAATTCAAAATATGTAAAAATGATGTTGCTAGTGAAAAGACTTGATTTACATGCATGTGTGTTAACATTGATAACATCAAAAGTCTGAAACTTATACTTATAATCAGGAAACAAATCTGATAACTAAATTAAAAATAGAGAGCAAACAACATAATTCCTGCAGTAACAAAAAAATATGTTGACCTTTTATAATTCTGTAGTTGCTTAATATAACAAAACAACAAACAAAATTTATACAACTTAACAATCTTAAGTATAATTTTATATAAAAACAATATTTTATTTTACATTATTGTTGAATTTTAAATCACAAATATTTTGATTATAAAAATAATAATATGTAATTAGTTGTTTATATTATTATTATATACAGATAAAATAATAATTAAATATATTATTTAAAGTAATTATTTTTCAAATGAAATATTTTTGAAATGTGTGCATTTTGTAAATTTTTGTAATAAAATATCTAAATTTACTCTTTTTACTTCAATAATAATCAGGCATAAATAATTCATCTATGTAGTCAAGGGTGATTTAATTTTCACTATCATATTGCTAGTAAACAGTAGTCTTGTTTCATCAATCATTAGCTAAAATAAATTTAAATTATTTATTTTATTTATTTATTTGTAGAGTGAGTGTTAACTGATTATATTATTGATTTTATACATTCATATTCATAATTTATCATGTTTTTGTATTTATACTCTGTGGTGACAATATAATCAAAGAAAGTATAGTACTGTATATGCAATTCTGTACAATAAGACAAATTAGTTTTTTTAAATGCATAAACAAACTTCAAGAAACCCAATAAATTTGTAAAGCCAAACAACCATTGAATCATTGAATTACATTGGGTTTATTTAATTCACTGCAATTTGTGCTATTTATTTTATTTAAATCAATCAGCTTTTTATTAAATAATAATAATTGATATCTATATCCTATAGTATCATATATTTATTCATTAAATTGCTAGCTGAGTCACTTTTTCTTGTGTAAATGAATGTTTTGATGACAGTGATATTGCTTCAATGATTTTCAATATAAGCAATGTTATGAGTTAACTTTTATTAAAGAATGATCTGTATTTTGTATGTAACTGCTATATTTTTAAGTCAGAGTAGTTGAATATATATATTTAAATTTTTTATAACATTAATTTTCTCAAACTTTTAAGACTAGATACAGTAATGATAAAGGACATAATTTTTATCACAGAGCATAATAATCTTATTTTCAGGAAAGTGGCTATTTTTTCAGAATGTTTTTTAATTTCTAAAGTGCTTGTTGTGTCTCAGAAGTCACATGATCATGCAGAGTTATGATAGGGTTTATTTTCAACATGAACTTCTGCAATGGCAGAAAACTGCTTTTTCTTAGGACTGTTTTATTCAATGTAATCATGTGCATTGCAGTTATATCTAAAGATTAGAAGTATTAAGAAATAGTTTTTAATCATTTTTAGCCTATATGTTAATTTTTCATATAACAAATTGAAAGTAATAAGTATACTATGCTAAAGAAATTTTCAAATATTTTTTGAAAAAAGACACTTTCCTTTGATATATCAAAACGTTTATTTTTATTTAGAAAATATAGCAAATCTAAGTGTATTGAGTTTCAAACATAAAAAAAAATACACTTTAATTTGTGAAATTTGATTTTTTTTTTCATAAAATGTAACTAATTCAGTTCTTAAAATTGACAAATTTCCTGTTTTTATTTGAAAATGAATTTAAAAAGAAAAAAAAACTAGTTTAGAATTAGATGCCATTTATCATAGTTTGTAGATATATATAACCGGTAATGCCATTTGTATACTGTCATCAGTTTATCAAATCTAGCAAGAAAAATATTAAATTTTACTGAAAATATATTAGTATACCTTGAGAATTCAGTGAGGAAAGAAAAGTAATCACAATTTTTTTTAATAAATCCAAGAGTTACTAATGGATCAAGTGTGATTAATGTATAAATACATTTATCAATTTGATAATATGCACAAAAAAGATATGATAGTTCTATCATATACAATATTTTATTTATATATATATATATAATTTCATAAAAGCTGTTTTGTTTAATTGAAATATTAGATATTATATATAGATAAAATGATACTTTTGCTGTAGAAAAACAAAGTCATTTCATTACATTCTTGTTTTTTTTTCTAAAGCTTAAGAACATAAAAAGTTGTATATTTGATCCTGTTCAAGTCTTTAGTTTATCAATTGTGATTTTTGCTGCATGAAAATTTTTTGTGTAAATGTTATCTACAAAGAAATTTTAAAATTAAACTATATTTGATACGATAATTTTATTTTTATGTATGTGAAAAATATTTCTAAATAAAAATTGGTTTACAGATGAAAATTTTATATGTATTTTTATGGTATTGTAATATTCTAATGAATTAATTTCTAAAAGATATAGGGGTTAAGGATGAAATGACCTATATTTTATTGAGTGACATATATTCATATGACATAGTTTATAGTTTAAGATTATCAATTATTTAAAAATTAAATTGATATGAAGTAATATTATCACTTTAAGTTATCAAAAAAATATTTCCTTTTACTATAGGAACTTGGTCTAAAACGTCGCAGTGTAGTAGTAGTTCGTCTGGTGACATGTCTTCTCCCAAAAGATCATCTCAGCGTGTTACTTTTGAAATTGTTTCTGCTAAAACGGTTTCACAAACAAGAAAAAAATTTGTAGTGAGTATTATTTAACATAATATAAACCATCACTTATTTATAATTTAATTGATATGTTGTACTAATATTTAATGAGAAAAAAGTTGAGTTTTAAATAGCATTTTTAACATTATATTATGTAATTTTTATAAATAAAATTATAGCAATTAAAAATATGCTCAGTTAAAAGCATGTATTTAAAAATAATTTTGTTTTTACTAATTAAATTAAATTAACTCTAATAAGAATTAAAATTAAAACAGGATCAAAATTACATAATTGTTTTACATGCATTTTAAATTATCTACTGTTCATATGTTACATAATTGAAATAATAATCATTATCATATTTTTTCTGTCCTGTTTAATTAAACAATAATTCAATGCCTGATAAACTAATAACAAGTCATTAAATGTTAACTGATAATGTTAATAAGAAAATTAATTTTAAAACAATAGTTTAAAAATCACTTTTAGTTTAATCATTAATGAAAAATTAACTACAGTAGAGCATCGATTATCTAAATATTGATTAACCAAAATGTCAGTTAATCAAAAGCTTTCCAGTCGTCAAATTTAAATTTCCGTTAGTGCTGTGGCACTGCAATCTTTGGCTATGTCTTGGGCTACTCCAATATTATTTTTGTTGGTGTGCGTGTTTTAGCTGGCAGCAATGGCACGACCATGAGAGGGTACTTAAGGACGTGCCAGGATTTGAATGAATTTCAACATGGGATAGATTAATATATTTTTTTGTACATAATCAGTTATCTGAAAAGTCAATTTTCTGAACAACCCCAGTCCCCAATTGATTCGGACCATCGATACTCTACTGTATTTTCCAATTTCTTTGATTATATGGTAATTCTTCTATCTTAGTAATTGGTTTCATGAAATCTCTTTAAATGGAGCCATGGGAAGTTGTTAAAATAGGGATCTGTTCCATATTATCAAAATACAATATTTTACTGGAGTAGAAAAGTTTTTACTAAATTTTAAAAAAAATAAACATCTATATAAAAGATTACTAATAACAAAAAACACTTTTCCTTGTAACTATCATTTATGTCCATAAAGTTGATTTATTTTAAAATTTAAAAAATTTTTTCAACTGCATGAAAGTGAATTTATGTAAATGATGGGATTACTGTATATATTAATTCATATATACTCAAAATTTAAACCTAAAGATATAATTTTTATTAAATTTACAATTTAAAATATAGTTATAGTTATTCAAATTACTTACCTATGTAAGATCAAATGTTGATTTTTTAATGAGCATTTTTTTTTAAATTTGTTCAAAATGAGTTACATCTAGTTTTTGAATCAGTTAATCCATTCTCATATATACAAAGTATTTAAACGTATTGGAGCAGAATAATAATTGAAATTTAAAGTATTATTGTTTTTTAAATTATTATTATATAAATATTTTTGTAAATCTTGTTTTATTTAGTGAAGTTAGTCTGAATAATAGATTTCAATTAAGCCTTCAGGTAAACTACAAAGTTTCCTAATTGTTTAATGTGTTAAAGTTTTGAGACTTAAAGTGAATTTTTTATTTAAGCAAAGAAACAATTATCTTAAATTTTCTTTTTGCATTTTTAAATTTTAAGTCATTATTTATTTATTTGTTGTATTTAGTTTAAATAATTAACTATGATATTTTTATGTATTAAAATATCTGAAATTATTCAAATATGACTTAACATGGATTTACGTCCATGTTAATTTTAAACACAGACCTCTCATCAGCTCATTGATGGTTAGACATATGGCAGTAAACACAATAAATATCTAAAATATTTTATTTAGATCAATATATATATATGTGTATGTGTGTGGTGTGTATGATCTAAATCTTATATATTTATACATATATTAATCTAAATTTGTTGTAATAACGAGAAATCAAAACTTTGTGAACACTGAAAAGTTTTAACAAAACTGTAAAATACAATATTTACAATTTATTTCAAGCACTGAAGTGAATTTATGATAGTATTAATAATCTATTAAATATTAAATGTCATGACTAATACAAAATATATTCTGCAAGTAATCTTTCATTGAATTGTGTAACCAGAAGTTTTATCAAAATTTACTTTTACTTTTGAATATGTTATGCTTTCAAACTAATTAAATTAACCTTATATCAGTAACTTGAATATTTCTTAAGTCAAACTTGAAAATAACACTTTTTCAAGACTTTAGAATTAATCAATAGAAATAATTTATAGATATGTAAAGAATATTTCTTAGAACCTGTAAATACAAAATTTTTTTAAATTTAATAAATTCTTAGAGAAATAATGCCATTATTCATTATATACATAATGAAATAAATAAAATTCATAAAAATATGTTTAGAATGAAAGCTTTGCAGTTAGTATCTTTCTTGCAATGCTAACTGCATCCTGTTAAATATCTCTATTGCACTTTTTGTAGCATGTTTGTAGAGTTTTCTTCATATATTTTTAATTTTTAAGATATTTGTCCTACAAATAAAGGAAATAATCAGTTTCTCATATATATTGTCGTCATCATCATCATCATCTAGTTATACAAAATTCACCAATAAAATGTATTTTATTTACTTCCTTTGAGAGTTAAAAATAGGAAGTGATTTCAGCTGATAAGAGTGCTGTTTTATTTCGTAACAGTAATACAGTGAAATGTCAGTGTAATGAATATACAGTAGAGCGTCGATTATCCAAATCATTTGGGGACTGGGGTTGTTCGGATAACTGATATTTCGGATAACCGATTATGTGTGAAAAAATAGTTTAACGTATCTGATGTTGAAATTTTTCTCCGTTTGTGTCGCTTTGTGTTGAATTTTCGTCGATGTTAAGCCTAACGAAGACTATTGTATCGTTAAAAATTATTTTTTTATTTTATACAAACAAAATAAATATATTGAAAAATATAAAAACAATAAAAAATTATACTTCAGA